ACCTGGAATCTAACCTGCTGTATAAGTGGGGCCCTACAGTAAACTGGAATCTAACCTGATGTATAAGTGGGGCCCTACAGTAACCTGGAATCTAACCTGCTGTATAAGTGGGGCCCTACAGTAACCTGAAATCTAACCTGCTGTATAACTGGGGCCCTACAGTAACCTGGAATCTAACCTGTTGTATAAGTGTATAAGCAGGGTTCTACAGTAGCCTGGAAGCTAACCAACTGTATAAGCAGGGTTCGACAGTAGCCTGGAACCTAACCAACTGTATAAGAAGGGCTCTACAGTAGCCTGGAACCTAACCTACTGCATAAGTGGGGCTCTACAGTAGCTCAGAACCTAACCTACTGTATAAGCGGGGCTCTACAGTAGCTCAGAACCTAACCTACTGTATAAGCGGGGCTCTACAGTAGCTCAGAACCTAACCTACTGTATAAGCGGGCTCTACAGTAGCTCAGAACCTAACCTACTGTATAAGCGGGGCTCTACAGTAGCTCAGAACCTAACCTACTATATAAGTGGGGCTCTACAGTAGCTCAGAACCTAACCTACTATATAAGTGGGGATCTACAGCAGCTCAGAACCTAACCTACTATATAAATGGGGATCTACAGTAGCTCAGAACCTAACCTACTATATAAGTGGAGCTCAAAAGTAGCTCAGAACCTAACCTAATGTGTAAGTGGGGCTCTACAGTAACTCAGAACCTAACCTACTATATAAGTGGGGCTCTACAGTAACTCAGAACCTAACCTACTATATAAGTGAGGCTCTACAGTAGCCCAAAACCTAACCTAATGTATAAGTGGGGCTCTACAGTAGCTCAGAACCTAACCTACTACATAAGTGGGGCTCTACAGTAGCTCAGAACCTAACCTAATGTATAAGTGGAGCTCTACAGTAGCTCAGAACCTAACCTACTACATAAGTGGGGCTCTACAGTAGCTCAGAACCTAACCTACTACATAAGTGGGGCTCTACAGTAGCTCAGAACCTAACCTAATGTATAAGTGGAGCTCTACAGTAGCTCAGAACCTAACCTACTACATAAGTGGGGCTCTACAGTAGCTCAGAACCTAACCTACTACATAAGTGGGGCTCTACAGTAGCTCAGAACCTAACCTAATGTATAAGTGGAGCTCTACAGTAGCTCAGAACCTAACCTACTACATAAGTTGGGCTCTACAGTAGCTCAGAACCTAACCTACTACATAAGTTGGGCTCTACAGTAGCTCAGAACCTAACCTACTACATAAGTGGGGCTCTACAGTAGCTCAGAACCTAACCTAATGTATAAGTGGAGCTCTACAGTAGCTCAGAACCTAACCTACTACATAAGTGGGGCTCTACAGTAGCTCAGAACCTAACCTAATGTATAAGTGGAGCTCTACACTAGCTCAGAACCTAACCTACTACATAAGTGGGGCTCTACAGTAGCTCAGAACCTAACCTACTACATAAGTGGGGCTCTACAGTAGCTCAGAACCTAACCTAGTGTATAAGTGGAGCTCTACAGTAGCTCAGAACCTAACCTACTACATAAATGGGGCTCTACAGTAGCTCAGAACCTAACCTACTACATAAGTGGGGCTCCACAGTAGCTCAGAACCTAACCTACTACATAAGTGGGGCTCTACAGTAGCTCAGAACCTCACCTACTACATAAGTGGGGCTCTACAGTAGCTCAGAACCTAACCTACTACATAAGTGGGGCTCTACAGTAGCTCAGAACCTAACCTACTACATAAGTGGGGCTCTACAGTAGCTCAGAACCTAACCTACTACATAAGTGGGGCTCTACAGTAGCTCAGAACCTAACCTACTACATAAGTGGGGCTCTACAGTAGCTCAGAACCTAACCTACTACATAAGTGGGGCTCTACAGTAGCTCAGAACCTAACCTACTACATAAGTGGGGCTCTACAGTAGCTCAGAACCTAACCTACTACATAAGTGGGGCTCTACAGTAGCTCAGAACCTAACCTACTACATAAGTGGGGCTCTACAGTAGCTCAGAACCTAACCTACTACAAAGTGGGGCTCTACAGTAGCTCAGAACCTAACCTACTACATAAGTGGGGCTCTACAGTAGCTCAGAACCTAACCTACTACATAAGTGGGGCTCTACAGTAGCTCAGAACCTAACCTACTACATAAGTGGGGCTCTACAGTAGCTCAGAACCTAACCTACTACATAAGTGGGGCTCTACAGTAGCTCAGAAATACAGAAATATACCTAATTAGATTAATCTTGTTGTAGCCGGCTGCCTCAGTAGTTAACACTCTGGCCTGTGAATTTTACCACTCGCTCGCCATGGGTTCAAACCCCACCCGTTCCCTGGTTTATGTGTAGTGGTTTGATCTCTACAGAGAACAGTGGCCCCAGCTTCAGAGGGACTGAGACCTCTCCTTCGAGGTGCGAGGCGACTTAGACAAGGTACTGACCTGGTCCTGCCAGGGTACTGACCTGGTCCTGCCAGGGTACTGACCTGGTCCTGCCAGGGTACTGACCTGGTCCTGCCAGGGTACTGACCTGGTCCTGCCAGGTACTGACCTGGGGCCTGCCAGGGTACTGACCTGGTCCTGCCAGGGTACTGACCTGTCCAGCCAGGGTACGGACCTGGTCCTGCCAGGGTACTGACATGGTCCTGCCAGGGTACTGACCTGGTCCAGCCAGGGTACGGACCTGGTCCTGCCAGGGTACTGACCTGGTCCAGCCAGGGTACGGACCTGGTCCAGTCAGGGTACGGACCCGGTCCTGCCAGGGTACTGACCTGGTCCTGTCAGGGTACAGACCTGCTCCAGCCAGGGTACTGACCTGGTCCTGCCAGGGTACTGACCTGGTCCTGCCAGGGTACAGACCTGGTCCTGCCAGGGTACTGACCTGGTTCTGCCAGGGTACAGACCTGGTCCTGCCAGGGTACTGACCTGGTCCTGCCAGGGTACAGACCTGGTCCTGCCAGGGTACAGACCTGGTCCTGCCAGGGTACTGACCTGGTCCAGCCAGGGTACGGACCTGGTCCTGCCAGGGTACTGACCTGGTCCTGCCAGGGTACTGACCTGGTTCAGCCAGGGTATGGACCTGGTCCAGTCAGAGTACGGACCCGGTCCTGCCAGGGTACTGACCTGGTCCTGTCAGGGTACAGACCTGGTCCTGCCAGGGTACTGACCTGGTCCTGTCAGGGTACAGACCTGGTCCTGCCAGGGTACAGACCTGGTCCTGCCAGGGTACTGACCTGGTCCTGCCAGGGTACAGACCTGGTCCTGCCAGGGTACTGACCTGGTCCTGCCAGGGTACAGACCTGGTCCTGCCAGGGTACTGACCTGGTCCTGCCAGGGTACTGACCTGGTCCTGCCAGGGTACTGACCTGGTCCTGCCAGGGTACTGACCTGGTCCAGCCAGGGTACGGACCTGGTCCTGCCAGGGTACTGACATGGTCCTGCCAGGGTACTGACCTGGTCCAGCCAGAGTACGGACCTGGTCCTGCCAGGGTACTGACCTGGTCCAGCCAGGGTACGGACCTGGTCCAGTCAGGGTACGGACCCGGTCCTGCCAGGGTACTGACCTGGTCCTGTCAGGGTACAGACCTGCTCCAGCCAGGGTACTGACCTGGTCCTGCCAGGGTACTGACCTGGTCCTGCCAGGGTACAGACCTGGTCCTGCCAGGGTACTGACCTGGTTCTGCCAGGGTACAGACCTGGTCCTGCCAGTTTACTGACATGGTCCTGCCAGGGTACAGACCTGGTCCTGCCAGGGTACTGACCTGGTCCAGCCAGGGTACGGACCTGGTCCTGCCAGGGTACTGACCTGGTCCTGCCAGGGTACTGACCTGGTTCAGCCAGGGGATGGGCCTGGGCCAGTCAGAGTACGGACCCGGTCCTGCCAGGGTACTGACCTGGTCCTGTCAGGGTACAGACCTGGTCCTGCCAGGGTACTGACCTGGTCCTGTCAGGGTACAACCTGGTCCTGCCAGGTACAGACCTGGTCCTGCCAGGGTACTGACCTGGTCCTGCCAGGGTACAGACCTGGTCCTGCCCGGTACTGACCTGGTCCTGCCAGGGTACAGACCTGGTCCTGCCAGGTACTGAGCTGGTCCTGCCAGGGTACAGACCTGGGTCCTGCCAGGGGACAGACCTGGTCCTGCCAGGGTACTGAAACCCGGTCCTGCCAGGGTACAGACCTGGTTCTGCCAGGGTACAGACCTGGTCCTGCCAGGGTACTGGCCTGGTCCTGCCAGGGTACAGACCTGGTCCTGCCAGGGTACTGACCTGGTCCTGCCAGGGTACAGACCTGGTCCTGCCAGGGTACAGACCTGGTCCTGCCAAGGTACAGACCTGGTCCTGCCAGGGTACAGACCTGGTCCTGCCAGGGTAAAGACCTGGTCCTGGCCAGGGTACAGACCTGGTCCTGCCAGGGTACTGACCTGGTCCTGCCAGGGTACAGACCTGGTCCTGCCAGGGTACAGACCTGGTCCTGCCAGGGTACAGACCTGGTCCTGCCAGGGTACAGACCTGGTCCTGCCAGGGTACAGACCTGGTCCTGCCAGGGTACAGACCTGGTCCTGCCAGGGTACTGACCTGGTCCTGCCAGGGTACAGACCTGGTCCTACCAGGGTACTGACCTGGTCCTACCAGGGTACTGACCTGGTCCTACCAGGGTACTGACCTGGTCCTGCCAGGGTACAGACCTGGTCCTGCCAGGGTACAGACCTGGTCCTGCCAGGGTACTGACCTGGTCCTGCCAGGGTACTGACCTGGCCCTGCTGAAAATATTACAATGACCAGACACCCAGATCCACATGACGACACACGTATTGAACTTATAATTAATGGTATCAGGTACTACTAGATTACAATACCTTTCAATTATGTTAAAATATAATTATGTAACTGTATATTTAAGAAGGATGAGGAGGGAAGAAGTCAACTATAACAAACCAAAATATTTATATCTGAAATAACAAATTTACTGTAATATAAAATGATAATCTTACCTTTGGTTATCGTTAGTGATGTTTCTTGGGGACTGGCTTGTGTCTTCTGCCTTGTCTTCTGCCTTGTCTTCTGCCTTGTCTTCTGCCTTGTCTTCTACCTTTTGATTTTGCTTGTTCCTCTCGTTTGTTTGTTCCTCGTGTTCACCATGTGTTAACTCCTCCTTAATGTTATCACTAATCCATAGCGTGGATTCTTTCTCACTGTGTTCATTAATAACACGTACAACCGTAGCTTCATTTACACTTGTATTTACACCGGGTGAACTTTCTGACTTATTACTTTCTTCCTCTTCAGCGCTAACACTATTTAAATTATCTAATTTCTCCGTGTTTTTCAATTTGTCAGTTTCATAAAGTACTTCAGTATGCAGATTCCCGGAGCATGTGTGGACTTCTGAAGTTGTACAAGGTAAACTCTTGTAGTCCCGCTCAGGACTCTTTTGTCTCTCTGGAAAACGGAACTTCTCAAGAGTCGAAGATTTGTCCGGAATCGAAGACCTGCCCAGAATCGTGGATTTGTCCGGAGTTGTAGACCTCTCCGGAGTTTTGGATTTGTCCGGAGTCAGTGGCTTCTCTGGAATTGTGGATCTCTTCGGAGCTGGAATCACAAATCTCTGCGGAATTCTGGATGTCTCTGAGGTGAATAACTTTAGTGTTTCGTTTACATTAAAACTCTCGGAGGAGTTTTCTGACTTTGATTCTTTGATAATATGATCTGGTGAAGGCTGAGTTGCGTCTCCACCCGGCTGCTGGTGTGGCTTCGAACTGGAGTACGTATCTGTTCTCCGTGTGGGTGACGGATCCACGGCTGCTCTTCCAAGTGACTGTGTTGCTGGACTTCGTCTAGGACTTGGACTCTGCTGCCTTTCAGGGGTGCTGGACTCACTCCCAGCACCGGAGTCTGTACCAGCACGACCGTTCATACTGATGTCTTGGCTCAAGTGTCTCGTCTCAGGACTTCTACTGTCGTCCCTCAGTCGTTTTTCCGGACTTCTGCTCTTTGCCTTCGAGGCTTTATCTGGACTCTTCCTATCGAGTCCTAACTTCCTGAAAGAGGCGAGTCTTTTAGCAAAACTTGGAGTCCTCTTCTCCGGAGGAAGCTTTTTCTCAGGACTCGACCTCTTCTCTGGACTCTCAACATCCGAGCCTTGATCTGTTTCAGAGTCATGTTGTTCATCAGCATTTCTCTGTTTATGCCGCACATGTTTCTTAGCCCAACTTAACATTTCAAGCGTAGCGTGAATGTTGGCGTTTAGTTAGTCACTGCTAAAGTTGTTTATCTCGCCCCTGGTTTAGTCTTGCGTAATATTGGCCGGTGTTTATATATGCTTGACGATGTGGTTGATAGTGTATCTGCGACCACGTCCCTCCTGTGGAAGAACGCAAATATTACAGGTGGTGTGTCACGTTTTTTTTATGGGGATTAGTTCTTATTTACTAGAGGAAAAAAAATTATCTATCATAGTTGGCCCAATGCCACATCTGCATTAATACAGTGGCTAGATCGGTATCGTGGCTGGAACAATAATATGACTGGAACAATAAAATGATTGGAATAATAACATGACTGAAACAATAACATGACTGGAACAATAAAATGACTGGAACAATAACATGACTGTAACAATAATATGACTGGAACAATAACATGAATGTAACAATAACAAGACTGGAACAATAGCATGGATGTAACAAGAACATGACTGGAACAATAACATGACTAACAATATTATGACTGGAACAATAACATGAATGTAACAATAACAAGACGAGAACAATAGCATGGCTGTAACAATAACATGACTGGAACAATAACATGACGAACAGTAACATGACTGTAACAATAACATAGCTGGAACACTAACATGATTGTAACACTAACATGATTGTAACAATAACATGACTGGAACAATAACATGGCTGTAACAATAACATGGCTGGAACAATAACACGACTGGAACAATAACATGACTCGAGCAATAATATGACTGGAACAATAACATGACTAACAATAACATGACTGGAACAATAACATGACTGTAACTATAACATGGCTGGAATGACTAACAATGACTAACATGACTAACAATAACATGATTGGAACAATAACATGGTTGGAACAATAACATGACTAACAATAACATGTCTGTAACAATAACATGGCTGGAACAATAACATGACTGTAACAATAACATGACTAACAATAACATGACTGGAACAATAACATGGCTGGAACAATAACATGACTAACAATAACATGTCTGTAACAATAGCATGACTAACAATAACATGACTGGAACAATAACATGGCTGGAACAATAATATGGCTGGAACAATAACATCAGAAACAATAACATGACTGGAACAATAACATGGCTGTAACTAATATGGCAGGAACAATAACATGACCAACAATAACATGGCTGGAACAATAACATGACTGTAACAATAACATGACTGTAACAATAACATGACTGTAACAATAACATGACTGTAACAATAACATGACTGTAACAATAACATGACTGTAACAATAACATGACTGTAACAATAACATGGCTGGAATAACATAAGGAACAATAACATTACTGGAACAATAACATGGCTGTAACAATAATATGGCTGGAACAATAACATTACTAACAATAACATGTCTGGAAAAATAAAATTTCTGGAACAATAATCTGACTGGAACCATGACATGACGCTGGCAATAACATGAATTTAACAATATGGCTGGAACAATAACATGACTAACAATAACATAACTGGAACAATAACATGACTGTAGCAATAAAATGACTATAACAATAACATGGCTGGAACAATAACATGACTAACAATAACATAACTGGAACAATAACATGACTAACAATAACATGCCTAACAATAACATGACTGAAACAATAACATAGCTGGAACAATAACATGACTGGAAAAATAACAGGGCTGGAACAATAACATGACTGTAACAATAACATGACTGGAAAAACATGACTAACAATAACATTACTAACAATAACATGACTGGAACAATAACATGACTAACAATAACATGACTGCAACAATAACATGACTGTAACAATAACATGGGTGGAACAATAACATGACTGTAACAATAACATGGGTGGAACAACAACATGGCTGGAACAATAAGATGACTAACAATAACAAAACTGGAACAATAACATAAGAACATAAAGAAAGAACACTGCAACAGGCCTACTGACCCATGTGGAGCAGGTCCATGTCCCCCCGGGATTAGCCCAATGACCCACCCAGTATGGTCACCTCCACTCAAGGATGGAGCACTGCACCAGACCCAGCAGCACAAGCTAGTCAGGTCCAACTCACGCCCACCCACACCCACTCTATGTATTTATCTAACCTATTTTCGAAACTACACAACGTTTTAGCCTGAATATCTGTACTCGGGAGTTTGTTCCACTCATCCACAACTCTATTACCAAACCAGTGCTTTCCTATATACTTCCTGAATCTGAATTTTTCCAACTTAAAACCATTGCTGCGAGTCCTGTCTTGGCTGGAAATTTTCAGCACGCTATTTACATCCCCTTTATTTGTTCCTGTTTTCCATTTATACACCTCAATCATATCCTCCCTAATTCTACGCCTTTCTAGAGAGTGCAGATTCAGGGCCCTCAGTCTATCCTCATAGGGAAGATTTCTGATACATGGGATCATCTTTGTCATCCTCCTCTGTACGTTTTCCAGAGCATTTATATCCATTCTGTAATACGGTGACCAGAACTGAGCAGCATAGTCTAAATGAGGCCTAACCAAGGATATATAGAGTTGAAGAACAACCTGAGGACTTCTATTATTTATACTTCTAGATATGAAACCAAGAATTCTGTTAGCTTTATTGCGAACATTAATACACTGTTGTCTTGGTTTTAAATTACTGCTAACCAGAACTCCTAAATCCTTTTCGCAATCAGTAGTATTAAGATCTACATTATTTAGTTTATATGTGGCATGGTTATTTACCTGTCCAACATTTAGAACTTTGCATTTGTCAATATTAAACTGCATCTGCCACTTCTCCGACCATTGCATCAGTCTGTTCAAATCATCCTGGAGTACTCTAGTGTCCTCATTAGAATGAACTGGACGGCCTATTTTGGTGTCATCAGCAAATTTGCTTATGTCGCTATTTATTCCCTCATCTATGTCGTTTAAGTAAATTGTGAACAACAACGGGCCCAACACTGACCCCTGAGGAACACCGCTTGTGACGTGCCCCCATTCTGATTTCTCCCCATTTATGCAAACACTCTGCTGCCTATTTGTCAGCCATGCCTCTACCCAGGAAAAAATTTCTCCTATTCCGTGTGCCTTAAGTTTTCTCAAAAGCCTCTGATGTGGAACTTTATCGAAAGCCTTTCTGAAGTCCATATACACAATATCATATTCATTACCATGATCTACCTCCTCAAACACCTTAGTGAGAAAAGTTAGTAAATTCGTAAGACAGGAACGCCTCTTTGTAAAACCGTGTTAAGATTCATTAATCAATCTGTGCCTGTCAAGATGGCTACGAATTGCTTCGGCAATTATTGATTCCATAAATTTTCCCAATATAGAGGTGAGTCTTATTGGTCTATAGTTCGAAGCCAAGAACCTGTCACCTGCCTTGTAAATAGGTATTACATTTGCCATTTTCCACTTATCAGGCACCATGCCAGTTTGTAGTGATATGTTAAAATGATTAGCCAAAGGTATGCTAAGTTCCTCGTTACATTCCTTTAACACCCTTGCAAACAGTTCAACAGGACCTGAGGATTTGTTAGGTTTTAGTTTCTCTATTTGTCTGAGGACCATGTCACTAGTTACCGCAATCGTGCATAGTTTATTATCATCCTTTATTATCATCCTGTTCTACATAATCTATTATTTCAGGAATATTGCTTGTAATTTCCTGGGTGAAAGCTGAGAGGAAGTAGGTATTGAGAATTTCACACATATCCTTATCACTGTCAGTGATCTGACCAGAGTTACTCTTAAGTGGGCCAATCTTGTCCCTAATCTTACTTCTGTATACCTGAAAGAACCCTTTTGGGTTAGTCTTCGAATCCCTTGCGACCTTAGCCTCATAATCCCTTTTTGCTTTCCTTATTCCTTTCTTTATTTCTCTCTTTAATTGAATATATTGATTTCTTAACTGCCCATCCCCTCTTTTGATACTCCTATATATGCCTCTCTTTTGACCAATGAGATGTTTTAATCTATTGTTCATCCATTTGGGATCATTTTTGTTAGATCTAATTTCCCTACTCGGAACAAAAGTTGTCTGGGCAGCTAGAACTATGCTCTGAAAAGCGTTATATTGGCAAGCAAGATCACCTACCTGACCCATAGTTAGGACATCCCAATTTAGCCCACCCAGGTAATTTTTCAGACCCATGAAGTCAGCCAAGCGAAAATCTGGGACAGATTTGATTGCAGTTATCTGGGTAATTCCATGATATATTGAAACTAAGTGATTTGTGATCACTTTCCCCATGCTCATCGTTAACTTCAAGATTATTAATTAGTGAATCTTTGTTGGCAAGAACCAAGTCAAGCAGATTGTTTCCTCTAGTTGGTTCTGTCACAACCTGTTCTAAAAAGCAATCATGAACCGTATCAAGAAAGTCACTAGACTCAAGATTTCTTGTCATATTATTCCAATCAATTTGTCTAAAGTTAAAATCTCCCATTATCACAACATTTTCATATCTAGATGCCTTATGAATTTCGTCCCATAACAGCTTACTGCACTCCCTATCAAGGTTTGGGGGCCTATAAATCACACCCAAAATTAATTTGTCACGTCCCTCGAGAAACTGTAGCCAAACAGATTCTGTGTTCGATGTTTCTAATCTTATATCATGTCTAAGACAACAATTTAAATTTTCTCTGACATACATCGCCACCCCACCACCCTTCCTGTTGACCCTGTCAGTGTGGAATAGTTTATAACCCTGTATGTTGCATTCAGAAGGCATTTCTCTATCTTTCAGGTTGAACCAGGTCTCTGTTATACCAATAATATCTATATTACCTACACTTGCAAGTAATCTTAGCTCATCTATCTTATTTCTTAGACTCCTACTATTTGCATAGTAAACCTTAAGGGAGCTAGTCACTCGTTGCCCTCTACTATCTCTCTTTGTTTGTTGATCAATTGATTTGCCATTACTAGCAACTTTATTTTGAATATTACCTTTTAAACATATCCCTGAGGTATTCCGGTAATAACTGCTGTTTTTAACCCTAATACTGCAGCCTGATTGTTTCCCACAAACACCCACACCTCTATAATCTATCAGTTTAAATTCCTCGGCAAGTCATCAATTACCCTCTC